ACGTAGTCTTACTTAGTAGACATGTTCTGTTTTTGTGGTTGTGAGGGATTCTTGGTTTTGCTTCTTGCATACTAATTAGTACATTACAAGTTTTTGCATTTGATTATTCGTAGGATTATACAAAAGATTTTGAGGTGAAGGAAGAGCGAATATAGATAATTAAAAGATGGATGATAGTGAAGGTAACTCATTTTCTTGGAATTTGTTTTCTGAATTTGCTTGGCTAGTTGGAAAGATCTGTATATGTTTATGTTTTAACTCCATTGATTTCACTTATGTGGTTCTTTACTTCTGTTTTCAGAACTCTCAGAAGTTCATGAACTAAGCAAGTGGTTTTCGAGTTATGTCTATGAATCGCCGATGCTGGATACAAGTGATGGGCTTGAGTTTTCTTTTCCTGAAGAAAGTAAAGGTATAAAGGATATGGAATTAGTCTCTTCTCAGGTTAAAGATAAGTCTGAGTCGCAAGTTGCGTTTTTAGGTGAGTAAAGAGATTTGTTTGCTAATAAAGCGACTCAATAAGTTTGTAGTCGAGAAGCTTGAATCTATCTTTTTTTGTTTCATGTTCTAACAGAGAATACAGAAGTTGTTTAGGGCAGTGAAATAGAAGAAGAAAATAGCAGCAGTATTTGGGGAAAACCTAAGAGAAAGTACATCAGTATTTGGAGAAAACCTATGAAAAAGAAAGAGACTACAACAATAACTTATGAAGCGGAGCTAAATTCCTTGAGGAATCGAGTCCAGTATCTAGAAAATGAAGTAAAGATTTTGCATGATCTCATCAATCGTTTCCAAGTTCTCCAATTACAAAAGTAGTCTATAGAAATAAGGATATTAGTTTAACTATTGGATGGAGACTTATGTTATGTAGATATAGTAAGTGTTACTGAACGGATGGATCAATGTAATGGTTTGATACTTGTTGTAATGGTTTGATGATATGTTATTGAGTTCTTCTTAAAAATTGAATTTTTTTGAATAGCAAATATGGAATCAAAAGCAGCTGAAATCAGAGAATATATAGCATAATAAGCGGCAAAAAAATAAATCGTATATAGAGCTTACCGGTAAATAAATTATAGCAAGACTATATAGTTACAAAAGAAAAAATTATAATGAAAACAATTCGCTATTATATTATATATTATAGCAAACAAATAGTACTATACATTAATAATATATAGCAAAATTTTGTGCTACAATGATAATTTCAATAACAGTAACGATACACTATTATATAGGTATATTTAATAGCATGTCCAAAAAGCGTTATTATATGTGACCCCTCTAAGATAGCTCCGTCAAACACAGTGTTTATGAGTCCGCCATGTAAACGATATTGTAGCGTTTTCGGTGTGTTAAGAATATCCATTCTTGTAGTGATCTTTTAACACATTTGTCTCCGATTTGGCTTTGCTAATCTCATTTTCAATGATGGCTAGTCTTGGTAAAGCATCTTCGACTTCTTCAAACATGACGTCCTCTACCCACTTAAACAAGTGATTCTAATGCACAACCACAATTTAGCTTGTTTAAATTTTTATCAAGAAGATCAAATCCAAATTGATTACTCCTACTCAACTTACATCTTTTTTGCTTGTCCACGATTTCGCATCTCTTTTGCTAACACAGCGGAAGAATGGTCATCCCAGGTTCTCTTGCGTCTTAGATGTAAAGATCGTGACCCCTAATCCATACACACACTTCGACGGCACACCACGCTCTCCATTGACTCCTGATGTGATAGGGCTTGAACTCATCGTAGAAGAGATCGAGAGAATTTGAGATTTGTTTTCTAGGGTTAGGGAGATTTAGGAATAAAAATCGATTTGGGGCTTTTCTTATTCAGTCTCTGAGGAAAACGTCGTCGTTTTGGTTAAACGGTGACTGTAAACGGCAAGCTAACAGCGTAAGCGTCGTTCTAACAGGGACTTAACGCGATGCCTAATTTGGCCTAGTCAACATAACTTAGCTATTTCCCAAAAAGAGTCAACAGAAACTTTGTAATTAAAATTACACTTTGAAGTTCATGCTTTAATCGTCCCAAATTTGATATTTGCGCATTTTTCGACCTTTTTTTCATTAGAAAACCATGTAGAAGAAGAGATTAGTGTAAAACATAACCTGTTAGATGAATCACATGAGAGGCGCATAAATTTTGACAACATGCATCCATGATTGGATTTTTTTTGAGGATGCTTGAGAGGCGACATTTTTACATATCACTGCCCAAATGTGAACTTAAGACTTGGAAAAGAAACGCCACTGGTTTCTGGACCATTGTCATGACCTAGATTTTTAACTCCGGTTTAGTTAATCTAAATTTGTAATCCTGTAAACATAAACAAACGGCTTTGAGATATATATATTTTTTCTTTTTGTATATTTACTTTACAAAATATTTTATTATTTACAATTAATGTTTGAAGACTTTTAAAACACTTTTTTCATATCAGATTTCTACACAGATTAATATTGTATAAATCCAAAATATTTGAAATTCAATAATTTTACACATTTTCAATAATAATTGTGTATAGATATGAAATGCACTAAAATTAAATAAATAAAAAAAGACAAAAGACATTGGCTTTTACAAAAAGGAAAAAAAAAAAGAAAAAAGAAAAAAAGTACTCTTGCCTATTGCAAAACATTACCCCAAAACATTACCCCATCTCTCCATACGACTATACCCTCTATATATAGCTTCACTATCCTTTGGACAATTCATAATCAAAATCTCAAACATTATCAAGTAATTGAAATATCATTATATAGACGGAGTCACTAAGGTTATAAAACATGAAGTTCATTACATTAGTATTCATCACTTTTGCTTTGTCGTCTCTGATTCTGACAAAAACAACAATTTCGGGGGAAGAAGAGAACGCGACATGCGTTGTGGCAGATCTTCAAATATGCAAATCGGCGGTAACAACCGGAAGCCCACCATCGAAAGAATGTTGTGAAAAGCTGAAAGAAAAACAATCGTGTTTTTGTGATTACTTGAAAGATCCATCAATTGGTCAATATATTACAGCTGCAAAAAAAATCTTAGCGACTTGCGGCATACCTATTCCTAGCTGTTGAAGTTTTAAACATTTATAATTCTATAAATCATATTTGAAAATGTTTATCATGGTTATTAACATGATTCAATAAAGTGTTCGTTTTCTTTTCTATATATATATATCGTTATTATCCCTCCTAAAAATTCAATAACTACTCGTCTCTTCCTCTTTATTAAAGTATGATTTTCTTGTCTGATTTCTTCATATTATTAACAAGTATCGGATTTTATTTCTTAACCATAGTCCCGTGAAAAATAGAATTTTGATCATTCATTTCTTGTTTATGTTTAAATAGATACCATTTTACTAGATTTTAGATTTTATAGGAGATTAATCGTCTTACAGACGGATTAACTAACTATGCGTTCTCGCTACCTTTAAGTTTTTATGTTTTTAATTGATTCCAGTGAAGATTGCTCTAATTTTGAGGAAAGACGCCGATGGACCCTTACATCCACGACTAGTTCCAATGTAATTTAATTTCTATTTTTTAATAAATTCTGGGAGATTTCTCCCGGTTCTTTACCCTAAAAAAAAAAGATTTTGGAATTTATATCAGACGTGACACAATGATTAAATTAAAACCAACTTATAAGATGAGTTATGTTGTTCATCATTGTGATTGTGGTTTGTGAGGCTGTTATAATATAATTCATTTTCAATAGAGTTAACCTTTTTTAAAAAATAAGAACTTTACATTATTAGTATTTGTCTCTACTGGAGAAGCATTTAAACGCAGCGTTTTATTACCAACCTACGTCATTGTCTCATGCAATGACATAAGCTAGAGAAAAATCTTGATTCCTCCATCAAGGCAAAACCACATAAAGCCTATCTCCTGCCGCGAAACAACCGTTTAAACCACCAATTCTCTCATCCGTACCAAAGAAAAAAAAAATGGCGGTTCATATTCACAACCCTAACTTTTTCCACACTCATCGTCTCCGATCATCTCTTACTTCTGCTTCTGCATCACCTTCCTCATATCTCTTTCATAGACACTCTGCTTCAAAGTATCACAGCTTCATCTGCAAATCCTATAACAAAGATGTATCCTTTTTTTTCATTATACAACTCCTAAACCAAATCAGTTAAACAAAAACCTTGAGAGCTAATTCTTTTTCTACTAACAGGACTATCTCATTGATTCTCCTGTTTCTGTTGGAGATGGATTCTCTTTTAGTGGAGCTAATCAAAAGATTACCCTTTTACCGGAGAAATAAAAAACAGTGACCTTTCGAGTTACACCAAGCATGTAAAGCTTGCTTTCTTTAAACACCATTTTGATGCAACGTTCATTCTTTAAAGGTTCAAACACTTTCCAGCTATATATTGTTTTCATCTCCTTTCTTGTAATTACCAAAAAGGCTAGAGATATTTCAAACAACCAAGTAATCTTTCTTTTTTCATCTACCCACAAAACCGCGTTGCCTATTTCAATATCGCTACCACGGGTTGATTCTAGAGACGGAAGAGGAATCTCGTCACTCGAGTAAACAGATTCAAAAGATGAAATTCAGTTCTATGGTCTAACATAAGGAACCAGCTACCTCAGCATGTGCCTCTCCATCATGGTATCTCTTCCTTCAAGGAAGGGAAACCGTCGATTGCACCAAATTTGACTTTGACCGGGCGAAAGAAGCAGCCTGACCAGCTTCAAACGGATGAGGGATGAGCTAAGTTCACAGGAGGGTTCTTCTTTGGAGGAATCTCTGGGGTGACTTGGTCTTACTTCCTTGTACGTTCTTGACCTTCCTTACTACGTCAAATCTCTTGCATCATTGTTTTTACTATTGTCTTGATCAAGAATCTTGAATCTCATGATTTTGAATGTATATTACTCTTTCTTCATCTTATTGACATTAATTTATATTTGCCTTGCTTTGAAAATGCCCTAATTGAGTTCAGGATGTTGATACTAAAAACATCTCTAACAAACACTTTTTATTTTTTGAACTGAAAACAAAAACAAGTTATCATCAATCAAACGTTGAGATAACGTTAGATAATGAAATATCATACTTGTTACTTGTACTAGCAACACTCTTGTTCCAAAATATAAAAGAAACTAATCAACCTTTACCAAAAACACAAAACTTGATAATTTTAAAGCAACCATTTTCCACCAAAGATGGGGAAAAACCAACGAGCATCCTTGAAAAGTATCGTCGAGGAAGCAGTAAGATGTTCAAACACTTGGACCACATTATTGGTTCGACTATGGTAGACGCAAATACCGTTATTGTTAGAATCATTGCATAGACTATTCCCATTGTATCTATGAAACTGATCATTACTATAATATATGCAATTTTTCATCACTTTCGCCTCAACCGTTACTCCTAGATCTAAAAGCAATATCTCACCTCCTAGAGACTTAGTCATTTTCCATTCTAATGATTTAGGATCCATCTTGTAAACGGTGAAGAAGCTTCTTGTCCTCGGATCTGGTTCCACTTTAGCTACAATGATCAAAACCTCTCCAGACAAAGTGACAACAACCTTGTAATGAGACCCTGGAGGATTATAAATATAACCATTTTGCAACGGGAAATATGGGAAATTTGCACATTCCACTGGAGAATCATCACCAGAGAAATCAAAAACAGTGACCTTTCGAGTTACAGTAAGCACGTAAAGCTTGTTTTCTTTAAACGTCATATCGATGCAACGTTCATTTTTCTCTAAAGGTTTAAACACTTTCCAGCTATTGTTTTCATCTCCTTTCTTGTGATATCCAAAAAGGCTAGCAACATTCCAAACAACCAAATAATCTCTACTCTCTTCATCAACCCACAAAACCGCATTGTCTATTTTAATACCGCTGCCATCAGAAACATTTTCACAAACCTTTCTGATAATATTTCCTTCACCGGTTGATTCTAGAGACGGAAGAGGGATCCTCACTCGAGTAAACGGATTCAAAAGATGAAAATCTGTTCTACGGTCTAACATAAGGAACCAACTACCAGAATTAGCCAAACAACGACTTCTAGCTAAATCAAACCCGAGATCTCTTACTATGTAGGAACTATGGTCACGAGGATTGTACAACTTACATGAATCGTTTTTGTTTTCCACATGTTCTCTTGGAAAGAGGATGATCCATGGACTTGTTGGATTTTTTACACCGAGGCATGATTCTGAAGTGGAGTACCATTCTGAAGAAATGCATCTGGCTCGATGAAAATCAACAAAGCTTAAGCGCTCCAAGATCGATCTAAGCAGGTCCAAGACAAGTACCGGTTGCTTTGAATCCTCGTTGCATGTTTTTTCCTCGGAATCGCTCATCTCCTTCTTTTGTTTCTTCTGTATCACGGCCAAGTCAAAAACCCTAGTTACATAAGGACGCTTCCCCTTCGTCTATTCATAATCAACAATTATCTACAGAATTTACTAATTATCTTATTTTCCTTTTTAAACTATGAGAATGAATTATTTATAGAAACATTTTCTTTTTTCAATTCGTATTCAAACTTTACTTTTTTTTTTTTTTTTACATATGAGTGTGTACCTTCAAATCTCTTGCATCATTATTTTTACTACTAGGTTATTAACCCCCGCGTAGCGGGGGTTTGTTGTTATTGATTGTTTTAATATATTTTTAGGCTTTATTATCATTTAAGTAGCTATATATTTAGTAATACAAAAGTACTATAATTTTTTTAATATTTTTAACGGAAATGTTATTTTATTTATATTTTTAATGGAAATGTTTTTTTATTTCTATTTTTAGTATCATTTACGTTATTTCAAATTTTGTTGTAATTAGAAAGAAAAAGTTTATAGGATAAAATTTGGTATGAAACAAATTATAAATATGATGTGTCATTATCTCTTACTTGTTTTACATTATTAAAGATTTTGCTATTAGTAAAGCAATTAAGAAAATATTTTCACAAAATATTAGAAATTAATCTACTAAATATGTACACATTTGGGCGTACCTATATTTCTCTTATCTATTAATAAAAGTTTTTACTATTAATCAAGTAATTATAGAGTACCCATATATTTTTGGCTAAAAAACTGGGTTGACACCTCTTCTTTTTTTACCCTTAATCGCAAGAACTGATTTGATTTTTGTCATAATTTGAAAGATTTTTTGGGTTTGGAAAAATTACTACATCCCAAAAGACGTCTATGTTAGCTGTTGCAAAAATCAAATCGTGACATGTAATATATATCCAAGACTGATATATCCCAATCAAGAGCAATAAGAACAATGACAAACGATTTAAAAATAAGTAGTTATGACTAACACTGGAAAATATACATGGAAACAATAATATCCAAATCTAAATAGAATTATAAAATCAAAATTGTAAAACATAAACAGTCTAGTTTTCGTGCTGAGAATTCGGCCTTCTCACACACACGGGCCGGCTTGATATTTTTGGCCCATCAATACCCCATCCTCGAACAACAGCATTGTCTTCAAGGTGTTGGACATAATCTGGAAAGCTAGCAAGCAACTGCTCTTCATCTTCCTAGGTGGCATCTTCTTGATCAGCTCTCCACTTCATCAACGACTATGATACCATCTTCTCTCCCGCTTGGTCGTGAACATGGTGTCCATGTAGAACTCAAAAAAAATTTAGTGACGTATACAGAGAGAAATGTAGCTGTTGATTAGAGGCATAATTCCTTATCGTTCTCTCAGCTCGAATCCGCCAATTTCAGACTCGTATTGCCATACTATTGCTGAAATCTCAAGCATCCAATCCATCTCTTCTCTCTTGCCAATCTCTTGTTCCAAATCTTCATCTGCAAATCTCTTGATCGAATCTCTTCCTCAGTACCGTATGTCACCTCTTTGTTATTGATTTTCGATTTGATTTATTGATTCAAAAATTATACATGAGATTAAAAGTTCTGTGCTGCCCATAAATGGGTGATCCTGACAGCAAGGTGCCCTCGTAATTTAGTGAGCTCTTTGTTTGATCTCTCAAAAACTATACGTTTTGATCTTTCAAGTATCTATGTTCTATAATCAATTTTAGATGGCTATTTCTAGATAAAATTAATCACTACTTTAGAATTTAGAAACTTTTGTTTTAAACTAAAAGTTTTTTCGACCATCATTAACTTATTTTTCGTTGTGTTGTTAATTGAATATTTTTCCATTTTGTTGTTATAGTCATATTTTTCTTAATCTTTTAGCATTATTTTCCCTTTCTGTTTAAACTAAAACTTAAAAATTCTTATACTAACATTAACATGTTTTTAGGTTTTTGAATATTTGAAAAGTTTCCTTTAAAAAATATTTGAACAATTTAACATATATGGACAATTTAACATTTAATTGTATTTGGAATTTAACATATAATCTCTCTTCTTTTTTTAACATATAATCTCATAGCAAATTTTCATACTATTAACCATATGTTACCATGTTTTTGGAATGATAATATTTTAGTTATTGATGATTATGTGTAGTTGGGGATGAGACTACTAACTTAGAATTACGAATTTTTTTTAGTCTAAGATTAAGTTAATGTGTTTTTAATATAAATTATGTAATAATTTGTTTTATTTTTTAAATTTTTTTCCAATTCCTATTAACTACATAATTTTAGAATTAGGATATTCTCCTAATTTATTTGGAAGCTTACATAGTGAAACTAATAATGATATTTTTCTAAATATAATTTAATAACTAATTTTACATTTTTCTTATTTTTATATCTTTTTTAAAAAATTTTACATTTCTATTATATATATATATATATGTATATATCCTATTCATACATATCTTGATATAGAAAAAATTAAATTTTTAAAATATTAATTAATATGATGGCTAAAAATATTAATTAATGAGATGATTAACCGTGATTCGTCGTTTTAAATCCCACGTGGACGTTTTTAGAAGCTTATAGCAAGATGGCTAATCGCGATTAGTCGTTTAAAAGCTTTCGTGTACAGCTTCAAAAATATTCTTAGTCCCATAAAAGTTTTACTAAAAGAAGTTTTACTAAAAATTTCTAGAAATTACTCGTGCACTTGCGTCCATCATGAAAACATTTGTTTTCTCTGAAAATATTGTAATATTGTATATATAAGAAATAAAAGCTTGTACATCATCACATATCCATCGGATGAATCCAATTCTATTAACCAGAACAATAAATTACTAAAAAAGTTTTCTTCCCAACAAACTGTAACATACCAAACCATCGATGATAGATTAGCTTCTCAATAATTGAAACTGAACTTTCCAATAAAACAAATTGGTTAGTGGAGAAAAAACAGGGAAACCATGTAAGAAATTAAAAATATTAAATGGGTACATATAAAGCTATAAGATGATCACATGTTTTATCGGTTGACATAGGATCCAAATTTCCATGCATCAATTCTCTAAATTTTCATAATTATATCCACCTTACGATAATTTAAAAACTATTAAATTAAACTGATAATAAATTTCTGATTTACAGAAGAAATTCACCTCGTTAAGAGTGATGGCCCAAATAAAGAAATATAAAACTGATCACTTATTCACATATGGCATTAACCTTGAAATACATCCAATCGTTCGTTAAAAAAATATATATGAAAACAGTATTGTACACCCAAAAAATTATAAAACGTATGAATAAAAAGCACATATTATATATAGATTAGAGATTACCTAATGATCAGATGAAACGAATTAAACCCACCAGTCGTTTGTTCAGAAACACCAATCAAATTGCCATTCGTTGCTTCCATACACAAAACCTGTAATCGCAGGTAAACACCATTCATTAATATGTATAGCCGAAAAAAACTATGAAGCAAAAAAAGCAATAATTAATTATAATCTGAAAAAAAAAAAAAATATATAATCTGAAAGTGAGTACCAAGGTATTTATATAAAATTAAAAGACGGTGTAAGATCTAAGTTTTCTATTGTACGATGATATGCATGTACAACCAAAAAGAAAAGAAAATTTTACATATATTTTGTTTTTTTGTAATTTTTCTATTTAAAAAAAATCTAAAATAGAAAAATTAACATTTCCAAAAATGTTAACTAATGAGATGGCTAACGATGATTGGTCGTTTAAATCCCATGTGGTAAACGTTGGGAATAGTTTGGACCATTTTTTAAAATAATCCAACAGTTAATTTATTTATTTTATGAGATTTAATTTATTTATTTTAGGGGATTCGGCTTAATATTTTTAATATTAGATTCCATATATATATTTTTAAATATTTTATGGGATTGAGCTTAATATTACATAATTATAATTACATAGATTCCATATTTTTATTTTAAGTTTATATTTTATTTCCATATACCTTGTTTTCTTTCTTCTTTTATTAACAATATTTTAATATAAACAGTTTGAAAAAAATGTTAATTAACATGGTGTATAAAAATGTTAACCGATGAAGTGTCTCGTCGCGATTCGTCGTTTAAAAGCTTAGGTGGACGGCCTCAGAAGCTTATAGCCTCGACTTTTATATAGTATAGATTCGTCTTGATCAAGAATCTTAAATCGTAGGTTCTTAATGTATATTACTCTTTAATTTCTTTATTTATTGACATCAGTTTTATATTTGCCTTGAAAATGCTCTACATTGAGTTCAGGATGTTGATACTAAAAACATCTCTAACATAAATCTCTGATCATAATCGATATATAGCTGAGAATTATTTTTATAATATTTTAACTGAAATACATTAGATAATGTTGTAATAAAATTATTTTTAAATTATATTGTGTCACGCATTTAGTGCATATATGAGTTCTAGTGCTAAAAGATCTTGAAATTAGACTGTGTCATGCATTTAGTGCATATATGAGTGATGATGCTAGAAGATAATCGGTGTCATCTAAAAGTAATAATGTAATATAAGATAAAACAAAAATGTCATGTGTATAGTGCTCATGCAAAAAAGAGTATTCAAAGAACTATAGGAAGCACGAAATCAAATATCTTTTTATTAATTAGAAAAGTGAGTAGCTAGAAGAAGAAAATGGTGTAGAACAGGGACATCACGCTTTCTCTCATTTGCTGGAAGGCTAAACTTGATCAGCTCAGTTCTTTGGAGTATATGTAACTTTTGGCTTGCAGCTTTTAGGCTCCTCGAGCATGTATACGGGAAATCGAAAAAATATGTTCATCGTTTCGGTGGTCGGGTATAGAGTTAAGCTCAAAGAAAGCAAAAGTATCTTGGGATATGGTTTGTAAGCCAAAAAACGAGGGAGGTCTGGGGCTCCGCTCATTACGTGAAGCTAATGAGGTTTGTTGTCTGAAGTTGATCTGGCGTATAGTCTCTCGCAGCAACTCTCTATGGGTTAAGTGGACTGAAGCAAATCTTCTACGACATCACTCATTTTGGTCAGTGAAAGAGAGCTCTGTTTTGGGGTCGTGGATTTGGCGAAAACTGCTCAAGTGCAGAGCGGTGGCACAAACATTCTGTAAGGTGGATGTCAGAAATGGAGAAGCCACTTCTTTTTGGTATGATAACTGGTCGGAGTTAGGTAAAATAATGGACGTGACAGGAGATAGAGGAGTAATTGATCTGGTAATAAATCGAAGTCTCTTTGTCGCGGAGGCGTGGTATACACGCCGAAGAAGAAGGCATCGGATAGCAACTCTAAACCAAATTGAAGAGGCTCTTAAGGTAGCAAGAGAACAATGGACAGAGGACCAAGATGTAGTACTCTGGCGAGGCAAGAACGACACATTCAAAAACTGTTTCTCAACCAAAGAAACATGGAACAGAATCAGAACCACATCCAATGAAGTTGCATGGCACAAGGGAGTTTGGTTTCCCCATGCGACTCCTAAATACTCTTTCTGTGTCTGGCTCGCAGTTCTGAACAGACTAGCAACATGGGATAAAATTGACAAATGGAACACGGGTTCTCCAGTGGGATGTGTGCTTTGCAATAACGACTTAGAAACCCGGGACCATCTGTTCTTTCAATGTGGCTACGGATCAGAGATTTGGGCTGCATTAGCTAAGAACATTTTCAAAACAAGGTACTCAACAGATTGGCACTCCCTCATTACTTATATCTCCAATATACAGCAAAAACGAACAAAGAGTTTCTTGGCTCGTTACATTCTCCAAGCCTCAGTATACACAATCTGGCGAGAGCGGAATGGTAGACGACATGGGAAACCTCATAACTCGGTAGGTCAACTAGTTGCTTGGATAGACAAGCACACTCGGAACACACTTTTAGCCATCAAACTTTTGGGAGTTGGAAGATATGACAAAGGGCTACAAAAGTGGTTTGAATCAAGACTTTAAGTTTTTGAGTTCAGATTTTGATCATTTAAACTTCAGACAAACGTTGCACGAGTTGTAAAAACGATATTTTTTTTTTGAATATAATTTAACATTACATTAAAAAAAAAAAGAATGGTGTAGAACAAAACATATTAGAATCACTTGAGAGGTGCATAAATCTTGGAAACCAACATCGATGATTATATTCTTCTTCTCCAGATGCTTGAGAGGCACCATTTTTACATCTCACTGCCCAAATGTGAATTTTAGAATTGGAAAAGAAACATCACTAGTTGCTGGTTCTTGTCATGATGACCTAGATTTTTAGTTCCGGTTTATTCAATGTAAATCCATAACCTTGTTAACATATACACCAACATCTTTGACATAAACTTTATCTTTTTGTTTCTTTATTTACAAATTTACAATTAATGTTTGAAGATTTTTAAAACACTTTTTCATATAAAATTTCTGTATAGATTAGTATTGTACAAATCCAAAATAAAAAATTAAATATTTACTATTAATGCTTTTACACATTTTCATTAATAATTATGTCACATATATACAAAAGGCACTAAAGTTAAATAAATAAATAAAAAAGACAAAAGACACTAGATTTTATAAAGAAGAAAAGAAAAAGTAAAGTACCCTTGGCTATTGCAAAACATTACTCCATATCTCCATAGACCATACCTTATATATATAGCTTCACCATCCATTGAACATTTCATAATCAAAATCTCAAACATTGTCAAGCAATTGAAATATAATTATATATACAAAAATCACTAAGGTTACTACATATGAAATTCATCACATTAGTATTCATCGCTTTCTTTCTATCGTCTCTGGTTCTGACCAAAGGGAAAGAGGAGAACGCATCATGCATTTTGGAAGATCTTCAAATATGCAAAACAGCGGTAACAACCGGAAAGCCACCTTCGACAGAATGTTGCGATAAACTGAAAGAACAACAAACGTGTTTTTGTGATTACTTAAAAGATCCAAGGGTTAGTCACTATATTTCAGCTGCCAAACAGATCTTAGCGGCTTGTGGTATACCGTTTCCTAGTTGTAATTAAAGTTTCAAATAGTTATTACATAATCTATAAATGTTATAATTATCAAAATTATATTTGATAATGTTAATCATGTCAAGGTTATTAACCTGATTCAATAAAGAGTTCGTTTTTATCCATGCTCAAAATTCAATAACTACTCATCTCTTCCTCTTCAGATTTCTCTCATATTAACAAGGATTTGATTTCTTAACCTTAAAAAACAAAAATTTTGATCTTTCATTTCTTCTTTTCGTTACTAAATAGATATAACTTTACAAGATTTTGGATTTTATATTAGACGTGACACGATGTTTAAATTAAACCCAACATAAAAGATGATTTATGTTAATCATCATTGTGATTGTGGTTTGTGAGGCTGTTATAACACTTTTTAAAAAAATAACAACTCATTTGTCTCTAATGGATAAGCATTTAAACGCAGCGTTTATTACTAACCTACGTCATTGTCTCATGCAATGACATAAGCTAGAGAAAAATCTTGATTCCTCCGTCAAGGCAAAACCACATAAAGCCTATCTCCTGCCGCGAAACAACCGTTTAAACCACCAATTCTCTCATCCGTAACAAAGAAAATGGCGGTTCATATTCACAACCCTAACTTTTTCCACACTCATCGTCTCCGATCATCTCTTACTTCTGCTTCTGCATCACCTTCCTCATATCTCTTTCATAGACACTCTGCTTCAAAATATCCAAACTTCCTCTGCAAATCCAATAACAAAGATGTATCCTTTCTTCTTACAACTTCTTACAAAAAATCTTGAGAGCTATAACTGAATGGTTTCTTTGACTAACAGGACTATCTCATTGATGCTCCTGTTTCTGTTGGAGATGGATTCTCTTTTAGTGGAGGTACTCAAAAGATTACCCTTTTTTGTGTTTATAATTGTGAAGACTAAAATCTTCTTTTTGTTTCACAGGGAAGTATTCGGATCAACCGAGTCCATCAGATGAGTGGTTGAAGCAAGGGAAATGGGTAGGAAAAAGATTCTTTCTACTTAGCTATAATACATAGTTTTGACTGAATATTTTGATTATACAACTTTCAGGTTAAAGCTCATAGAGTTGGTGGCTCTGGTGTAGAAGCAAAAGATCCGATTTTCGGGCTAACAATGGGAGCTAGCTCTCAAGCTTCTAAAGATCTTTTCCGGTAAAACACATTTTGAGTTAAAACTTCTAGTCGTGTTATTGCAGTAATGGCTTTAGGGTGTCTATGATTCTGTTTCTATAGATGGTTTTGTGTAGAATCCGGGAGTGTAGATAGTCCTCCTGTTATACTCATTCATGGATTCCCATCCCAGGTATTATATATTCCGTCAAACACATCTTCTTACCGCGAATAACTTACAGACTTTGAGGATATTTTTTGTGACTAGGCTTACTCTTACCGGAAAACTCTTCCCGTTCTCTCAAAGAATTACCGCGCCATTGCTTTTGATTGGCTAGGTAACTCCTTTTCTTGAAATTTTTTTCTTTTGTTGAAGTTCTCTAGCTGATTTTTTTTTATGTCAGGATTTGGATTTTCTGACAAGCCTCAGGCTGGATATGGATTTAACTATACAATGGACGGTAACATGATCTTAAACCCCGCTTATCAACAGACCTTAACCTGAGACCGAGAGAGTGTCCAGATTTATAAGAATAATGTGTGGCTTTGCAGAGTTTGTTTCGTCCCTTGAGTCATTCATTGATGAAGTAACTACCAGTAAGGTGTCACTTGTGGTGCAGGTAGGTAGCATCACTTCATTTCTTACCGAAGAAACAAGTTTTTTTCAGATTTGGCAGTGTTAACTTCTCTGCTTTGGTGTTTTTCTCAGGGCTACTTCTCAACTGCTGTCGTAAAATATGCAAGAAACCGACCTGACAAGATCAAGAATCTTATACTCTTGAATCCTCCTGTAAGAAAGGAACCTAAAACAAAGCCTACCACTTTCTTCTTTTTGTTAAAAACTAACTTAGAACTTGTATATGCGGTTTCAGCTCACACCCGAACATGCTAAACTTCCATCAACATTGTCTGTATTCAGCAACTTTTTGCTTGGGGAGATTTTCTCTCAGGTCAGTTTCATCAAAGTTGCTTCTTTTTGTTTGCTCCTGTACAACAAATTCCTGATTTATATAACCAATAGGATCCTCTAAGAGCAAGTGACAAGCCTTTGACAAGTTGCGGTCCTTACAAAATGAAAGAAGACGATGCAATGGTTTACCGAAGACCTTATCTCACCTCAGGTTCTTCTGGTTTTGCACTTAACGCCATCAGCAGGGCCATGAAGAAGGAGCTCAAGGTTCATAAAGCATCTCCTTTCTTCATTCATCTTATAACATATCCTGTAAAAATCAAGATTTCAAGTTGATATCTGGAAAAAGATTGCCATTTCATTAGAACTTTTACCTGACAGAAATATGCAGAAGAGATGAGGACATCACTGATGGATAAAAACTGGAAAATCCCGATCACCGTGTGCTGGGGACAACGAGACAGGTGGCTAAGCTATGAGGGAGTTGAAGAGTTCTGCAAGAGTTCGGGACATAACCTCGTCGAACTGCCAAATGTAACCGGCTATTTCTTTATATCCGCAAGGCATTGCTAACTAACAAAGCTAACTTGAACCCATTTTTCCCTTTTCAGGCTGGCCATCATGTACAAGAAGATTGTGGAGAGGAACTTGGAGGAATAATCTCAAGAATCATAAGCAAATCTGCTCTATTCTAACTAGAGCTACTAAATGAACCAACCATTTGTAAAAACTCAACTTTATTCAAAACCTTCTGTAGTGCCAGAGGTACATATAAGTCACCAGTAATATTTTTGTGCTAAAACTTTGAGGCTCTATAAAATAAGAGATAGAAGAATCGTCAAGAATCTCCGGTATTCTAGTACAAATGTGTAACATCCTAAAAAGAATCTAACTTGATCTACATGTATACCTTCATTAATTGGTTAAATTCAGTACATCACTGATATGAAGATCCTCAGAATGCTGTCATCTTACCATAATCATCTCTCCTTCTCTTTTGCTTCCTTGCGGTCTTCAGGGTATTCTTGTGCTTTTCTATATATGTATAATTTTGTCCACAGCAAGCAATCTTTCATGTTTGGAATCGGTCTATCCAGCACTCATCGTTCTTCACTGCATTTTTCCATCTATGTTTAAAAGTCTCTAACTCGGCGTAAGTTTGCTTCTTAACCTACGTAATGCTAATCTTTGTGAATAAAGAGTTTAGCCATACAAAGCACTGTATGGACATTATAAAAAGGAAAACTGATATCAACTTTTCAAATACCAAACTGGTTAGAAGCTTACCTCAGATCTACCAGATGATATTTGGGATGCTGAATCATGCTGAGTCTTGGTCTTATTGAGTTGTCCTGAATCTGTCTGTTTATACGCAGTAACTATAGTTACTTCCTAAATAAAAGCCATGAAGGCTAAGATGAAGAAATGGCAAGAGAACCAGTTTCAAACCTTGTTTTCAGCTGAACCTCCTAATGTAGGAAGACCCATATGAAGTATATACTCGGAATCAACAATGCCGATATTTTTGGTTCGATCACCCTATTCAAAGCATCAACACAACACTGAGGAAAAACAAAACCAACAAATAAAAGTGTGTATTGAGGTTAGCTCAGTACAATTTACCTGTGCACAATATCCAAGCTGAAAATCTATACCCCATCCGTGGTTTAAGTCATTCTGTAGAATAAAACAAAGTCAAGTATCTAGAAGTTGATGGTATTCATTAGTCTGTGACATGATTAGTTAAAACTTGTGCAATACCTGAATCATATGCCATGTACACCTCCAAGCTGCTCTGGAAAACACAGGAGCCATCATTTCGACAAATCTGTAGGTAGAGAGTTTTTTAATGAGTTTAAGAATAAGTTATTGTTTCACTGAAGAAGAAGGAAATGGAGATTCAGTTCTTTTACCCTGTGCAAGGAGGTCCAGTGCTATTCTCGTTGCACCTAGCCCGACCAATGACTTTGTATGTTCTCCTGGTGAACATCAAAACATTACAATACGAATCATTTAGTCATTCCTCCAATCTTTTTTCTTCTCTTTGCTAAAACTTTATCTATTGGAGCTTGAGAGAAGTACCTATGTACTCTCGATTTCTTGTCCCGTGAGGTAAGTTGATGATGCACTTCAGAGAAATTGGGATCAAGAGCAGGTTGTGATATTTGAAGCCCTTCTTCTTTAATTATTGAAACATACCTTCATTAGATACCACAAATATAAGTTTCACATCTTTATCAAATCACAAACAATATATTCTTTGGATAGCATTTTACCTTCTAGCATCAAAATGGTCAACACCGAGATCTTCATCCCAAAGAAATATGTACGAATATGCTGAGACAATATCCGGGTGTAGAAAACGCTTTGCAAACCACCTAAAAGAGTCATAAACATATTGAAACTGTACAAGCCAAATGCTATATATCCGCTTCCGGTTTACGATCTTAAAAAAAAAAACAGTTACCATTTGGTTTGGTTTACTACAGAAATATGAATAGCAGTTTCACTCCACTCAAACTCCTTCCATTCATCCACGGAACCATCATAATGAAACAGCATCACAACGAATTCACTTGATGGAAACTGCGACATGGTAAAATGGAAAAATGGAGATATCACATCAAAACTGTTTCATTACCGAGAGGCGAGAAGGTGTTGTCCAAGATTTACCTTCTTGACAATCTTGTTGACACTTTCCTTCTGTTTTATTCCGGCTGCCATAGCCAATAAGTTCGGCTTCGGTTTCTAAGCAAACAAAAACAGAAAATGTAGCGTTAAAGAATGACTACAAAGAAACTTGAGAACGGTTGGCAACAGGTAAATACCTTATCGCGCTTTGCGCCCCATAACGGTCGCATTTCCAAGTCAGATGTACTTGCAACAATACCTCTCGGTAACGTCTCACTACCAGGAGGCCTAAGTTGTGTCTAATGAAGCAAAACAACATGAAAAAATGTCAATATTCAGATAGACAATGAACTTGGTATTAAGCATAGAAACTGAGCAGCTTATTCAACAGACCTTACACATCTTCAGTTTTGCAAGATTTAGTCTTATTATCGAACTCCATCCCGCAATGCCCTGCCAAGTATTATACTCAAACTGTTCTATAACATATTCAGATTCAAGATAATGCTTAAAATTGCAGTCCAAGAATTCATACCTCTTTATAATCCACTGTAATAAAAGCATTTCCTATAAGGAAGATCATTGCAAGAAAAAACACTAAAGAGAACAAGCGACGAAGAGACGAGCTCTTTCGTTTTTGATTCATATTTAATGATCCCTGCAAAAGCAACGAGTAAGAAGATCCATAACTCAAATCTGCAATCACTACTATGATCTCATTGAACAACAATAAAGATTCAAGATTGTGAAGACTTATGAGTTTTAAATGTGTAGAATCATAAAGATCCACACTTTCGTAGAAAATGGTCATATAAGTAGAACACCAACACAGAAAGAAGATAAAAGACTTGAAATTTCATGATCCAAAGACTTCAATTGGATTGTTGAGCTAATGAAATTTCACATTTTGAAAACCGTTGAAACCCAGCCAAACCCAGAAATGGCAAAATGGGAAGAACAAACCAAAAGAACTAAACAAGGCAAGAAGAAAAGAATGAAGAGCAAACAAAAAAAGCTTACAGAGCTCAAAATCTTGGGTTTCTTGTTCATCTTTCAAGAACAGTGGTCTAATAAAGCTAAGCTCTTTCTTTAAAATCAAATAAGTAAAGTGTGAGTCTAGTGTTATAATACCTTATTTTTGTCAGAAAATTTAAATGCTTTCCGTCAAAATTGGTTATTTTACAAATTGTAAACCACTTTAATGGGTATGAAAGCAATTACTGTAAGTAGACGGTCAATAAAGTCAACCGTTTTAAACAAAAAAAACTGTTATAGTTTACTAAAATCGAAATTTGCGTGTAGGCATCGCCGAAAATCAAGATTTATGGCTTAAAATGAGCGACCAAATGTCATTAAAGGTCGCACGTGTATTGTTTGTTATGCATTTCTCCACTTTATATAAGTAACGTATACTGCGTCACTGTGATGCGATGTCCATGTGACCAGCTTTGCTTCGATTTTTCACAAGAGATTTAGGAAAATTAGGGTGAATAACAAATATTTTTTCTTCATTTTCTATAAGGTTTTGTGAACTAAAATCTTAGAAGTCGCCAATTTTTATAATTTTTCTCTATATTTTTATAAAAATGCAGAATAATCATATAAAATAAAAAATAATAGCTATTATACATCTATACTAATATTTGGGAAGTACATCCTAAGAGTCATAACTTAGATTTTGTAAGAAATTACAATATATGCCATTAGAGATTTCTAATTATAATCATTTTATTCCATTTCACTAATATATATTAACGGGTCAACGGGTCAAACGGGTTTAAAGATATTAAAAGATTTTGTTTATATAATACATAATTAATATAATTCGAGAATGTTATATACTAATCAATTCGAAAATGTAACACAATTATTAAAAATCCTATACTAATATACTAATATATTATTCGGAAATGTTATTCAAAATGTTATATAGTAATCCATTATTCGAACATGTTATAAAAAAATGTTATTGAAAATGTTAATGAAAATAATACATCATTGAAAACATATTTTATCAATCCAATTTATAAAACATGCTATTTTGAATTATAATACTCATATAGTTCGAAAATGTTATTGAAAATGTTATTCAAAATGTTAAATCCTATACTATTATTTGGGAGGTACATCCTATAAGTCGTAACGTTAATTTTGTAAGAAATTATAATATATGCCATTAGAGATCTCTAATCATAATCATTTTAATTCCATGTCATTAACATTAACAAATTAATTAAAAAACGGGTCAAATAATGAAAAACGGGTTTAAAGATCTTAAAGATATTAGGTTGTTATATTTTGTTTAGATATAAATTCGTATTCAAGCAATTCGTAATCTTTGAGAATATATTCAGTTTCCCTAAAATCTTTGAGAATATATTCAATTTCCTTAAAACCCTTTATAAAAAAAACTAAGTTATAATAGTTGTTATATTCTAAATCGTTTTTTTGTTTGGTTTTACGTTTTTTGTTTAGGTTAATCACGCATCAATATAATCAGCTATTCAGTTTCCTTAAAATCTTTTCTAAAGATTGTCAAATCTCTTTGTTATATAATTTTGATCCTATATTCCAAATAATCTAGAATATACCTTTCTAAAATATTATCTAACTATTTTATGTTAATTAATATATTTTTGAATCTCCTAATTATCACAAACAATCTACAACTATAAATATTCATTTAGATTTGACGTAGCTTTCTCACAGAAATCATCTCAGCACCATTCTCATATCCTACAATTAAAAATACAGCAGAAATGGTTATGGTTAGTCGCTACACTCCTATTAACAACTTGAAGCCTGTCAAGACTTTTTGGTGTATTCAAGTTAGTATACTTCATTCGTGGAATCATTTTACAAAAGGTTCTGGCATGTCTTTGGAAATGATTTTGACAGATGAGGCTGTAAGTACCATTGAAATTTTATACAATTCTCTTTGTAATATATGTGCCGTAAGTTTTAAGTCATCTTATTTTAATTACAGGGTAACAAAATTCAAGTAGACATAAAAAAGGAACACATCAGCAAATTTCAAAGGTATGTTAAACCGTTTTTTTTTTTTTTTTTTTAAAACCATGAAACTGGGCCCCACAAACTCAATATAATCCACTAAAAAACTTAGACCCAATACAACTATTTTTTTTGTTTATTCACAATCACACAATAAAATTATCAATACCTAATTGAACCAAATAAATTGTTAATCTCATATAAAAAATACAAATATAATGCTGCTAAATATATTAAATTCTAAAATACAATATTCTCTCCCTCTTTAGTCAAATAAAATATATAACATTATATCCAAATAGTAATAAATATAAAATATTATGATATATTCCCTTTTATATTAGAGAAATTGTTAAAAATGCCCCTTTTTCAATACCCCTTTTCAAAAATGCCCCCTTTGAGAGTCCATTTTTAAGTTTGCCCTCTTTTAATTTTTAATGACCATTTTACCCTTATTTGAAACAAAATTAGGTCCACAAAATACAAAATATTTTTTGGCGGGAAAAGTGATCCCGCAATTTTCCCGCCAAAACACTTGTAAAAAACCTTTAAAATACCTTGTAAAATTTTCCCGTAAAATTTTTTCCCGCCAAAATTTTTTTTTTGCGGGAAAAGTGATTCCGCAATTTTTTTTTTTTGGCGGGAAAATTTTTGGCGGGAAAAATTTACAAGGTATTTTAAAGGTTTTACAGAGTATTTACAAGTGTTTTGTAAGGTTTTACAATGTATTTTAAAAGGTTTTACAAGGTACTTATAAGGTTTAATAAGGTATTTATAACTTGTAAAACCTTATAACTTGTAAAAACCTTATAAAATAGCTTGTAAAATCTTATAATATCTTATAAATACCTTGTAAATACGTTGTAAAACCTTTTAAAATACATTGTAAAACCTTATAAATACCTTGTAAAAAACCTTTAAAATACCTTGTAAATTTTTGGCGGGAAAAATTTTCCCGCCAAAAATTTAACGCCAAAAAAATTGCGGAATCACTTTTCCCGCAAAAAAAATTTTTTGGCGGGAAAAAATTTTACGGGAAAATTTTACAAGGTTTTTTACAAGTTTTTACAAGTGTTTTGGCGGGAAAAATTGCGGGATCACTTTTCCCGCCAAAAAATATTTTGTATTTTGTGGACCTAATTTTGTTATTTTCCTTATATATTTGTGATATCTTTTATTAAAAGAAGGGTAATTTAGTCATTTTGTACATAAAAAGGGGTATTTTTAAAAATGGACAGCCAAAGGGGGCATTTTTGAAAAGGGGTATTAAAAAAGGGGCATTTTTGTGAGTCTCCCTTTATATTATACTATTATACTATATTATTTCTTATTTTTTCGAACAAAATATACAATTTAATTCATGAAAAATATTAAATCCCGTGCTGTATAGCACGGGTCATGATCTAGTATATTGTAAATATTTTAACGATTACATACATTTGATTTTTAAAATTTTAAAGATAGAGTTAAACTTCTCGTCTCGACGGTTTCGATTTAATATATTATTTATCAAAATTTTAAGAATTTGACAATAGCAAAAATTTGATATATTATGTTTTTTTTTTTTACTTTATTGGATTATTCTATATTTTTGGAGGTAGAACCGTAGAGGTAAAGTTGCAAGGTTGATTTTATCAGTTTTTTTTCACAAAACCCTTTTCTGTAGGTTGCCGGATTAAGGTTTAGGCCAATCGAACCAGACTTAGGTTTAGGAAAATCGAACCGGACGAATGTGGACTCTGAAACAAACATACCGAAAAAAGCGTAGTTTCGTACTCCGGTGACTTTTATACCGGGAACATCTCCCTCTCCTTCATTTACTCGCATCTCTCTTTGATCACCATTAACAGAACGTGCTCTGAAACTTAACGAACTCGATCAATAAAGGGTCTTGTCACTTGGATCTTGATTATTCCGATGACGGCCGGAGATCTGAAACCTCATGAACCTGACGTAGGTATGAAATTCGAGTCAGAAGAAGTCTAAAGATTTCTATGTAGAATACTCCAAAGGATTAGGGTTCGTTGTACGTATGATGCAGAGACGACGATCAGGTATCGATGGAAGAACACTTGCGAGAAGATTAGGATGTAACAAGCAAGGCTTTTCTGCTAATGATCCACGATCTAGTTGTTCTAGTTCACGTGAAGGTTGCAAAGCTACGATTTTGGTGAAGATGGAGAAATCTGGGAAATGGGTTGTTACTAGATTCGTCAAAGAACACAATCACTCACTTCAATTCATTGGGTCTTCTTATAATTCCTTTGTACGTTTTCAAAGTTTGCATCTTTTTGATTTGTTATTACTAGACACTTGGTTGGTTGATGAAAGAGAGATTTGTGTTACTGTATTTTTTGCATCTTTGGGTCTTCAAAGTTTGCATCTTTAGGTCTTGATTAGCTATTACAAGATTTGGATGCTTTAAGTCTTTGGGTCTTCAAATTTTGCATCTTTGGGTCGTCTTGATTTGCTATTACAAGACTTAGATGCTTGATGAAACAGAGATTTATGTTATTGTTTTTTGCATCTTTGGGTCTTAATTTGCTAATACAAGACTTGGTTGGATACTTGATTTGCTATATTACAAACACTTGAAATCCCTTTGTATGTCTTCCATTTCACATATTTGGGTCTTTTTTGCTTTGCTACTACTACACACTATGGTTGAATAACAGAGATTTGTGTTACTGTTTTGTAGGCTGATAAGGATAGGAAGATTAAAGAGCTTGCAGAGGAGATAGAGTGTCAGGACCGATTATGCGATGCGTATCAGAATCGATTGGTGAGTTTTATCGATAATTTTGAACATTATACGGAAGAATTGTCACTTAAAGTGAGGGATATTGTAGAGAATATTAAGAAACTTGAATGTCAAATACAAACAAGAGCTTGATTCATCTATGCATTTATCCAAAAAACCGAAGATTGATCATTGCATGCATTCTTTCTTTCTGATCACTCTGCTTTTTTTGAGTTTCTTGAATTTGTTCCTTCGTTCATCAACATATCATATCATCTGCACAAATTCATTCCTAAGCTCTTGAAACAGTATAATATAGGGTCGGTTTTAGCTAAAACGGTACATCAGCTAGACAATAAAAATGACATGTTTTCAAGATCACAAGTTCGAGTACCAACAAAAAACGAAGGAACTAGTAATTAACTTGGCTCTGTCCTCGACAAGAGAAGATAATGATGGTAAGGCACATAAGCAGGGCCGGCCCATGGGTAAAGCCCAACAAGCAAATGCTTTAGGTAGCAAAGTTTATAAATTATTTTAGGGGCATCATTTTCTTAAGTATCCAGTAGTGTAGTGGTAAATCATGTTTTGCACAACCTCCATAACACAGGTTCGAGTCCAATCTCTCTCTTTTTTTTTTTCAAAAACGAATATTTTTCTTATTTTTTTAAATCTAATCGATTATTTGAAGTTTCTAACTTCAGTTTCCTTTTATATTTTATTTATAGGACAAATCTTGGGTTCACCCCTGTTCACCTCCTTTTTTATAAGCCAATAAGATTATGCCATGTATTATTATATTTAAACAAAAATAATTAACTAAAATTTAATTCAGAAAAACAAAATATGGAAACAAATTCTTTATACGTATTAACGTTGGACGTCAATACTTGACGTTAACGTCTCTTTATTTATTTTTAATAGAATTATTTAAATGTGAGCAAATTTGAAAGCATGACAATAAGAAGTTGTTACTAGAAATAAAAGATCTCAAGTTTTTTTTGTGAGCTAAAAGTCACGTGATACAAATCCATAAACGGTGCGTTTTTTACTTAAGAGATTCATAGTCTTCTAAAGGAATGATATAAAAAGATGTTACGAGAATTTTAACAAAAAAAAAAGATGTTACGAGAATAGTCGTCTTCTTCGTGAGCATACAAAGAGAACTTGATGAGAGTTTTCATCATGGATTCTTTGGAGTTGCCTCAAACAATAAAATAATAAGAAAAAACAAAAAAGATCAATCTAGAAGAAAATAATAAAATGATAAGAATCTGAATTTGTGATTCTACAAGAGAAGAAAAAAAATCAATCTAGCAAAAGGGACTTGGTGTTCGAATATGATTTTGAAAAAAAAACAAAACAAAGCAAAATAACAGAGCTTTATGATGAACCACCATAACTCTTGTCAAATTCCTACAAAATATAAGATTTCAAATTATTAAAAACAATAATAGATAGCTCAAATATTAAAAGCAAGAATGAAGTATTTACCTGGAACACTTGTGAAATAAATGACCCATTATGTAAGGTCGAGCTGGTGGTAGCACCAAATAATTGAGTATCTGGAGTAGGAGTGGAGTCCTGAAGCATTTATCAATTTTAAATAAGAATTAGTATATATAGATTAAGTCACATTTCGATAAAAAATAGATATAAACTAAAAAGAAAAATGTTATATCAAATACCTGAAATGATAATTTTTTCTTTGCAGCAGCATTACTTTATGGTTTTGTGGTACGCCGATTTTTCGTTTCAAGAACACTAAAAAATCGACCATGAGGTCCGACTTTTTTGTTTTTTGGTCGTCCAACAGGAGCTTTTCTTTTTACCCCACGTGCATTTGGAACATCCTTGTCTTCTTCTTCTTCTTCTTCCACAAGTTCAACATCTGAAGTTTGGAGCATCCATGCATTAGCTTTCAGAAGTTCTTTTTTTTTTCCTCCAATTTTTTAAGCAACTGGATGGCATCTTTATTTGCACACAACGTCAATTCTATATGATCAGCAGCAACAGATGCAATCTCACGGAAAGTACGACATATATGGCTATATCGCTTTCCAATCGATTGCTTGACTGTTTCATTAGGTGGCTCTGAATGATAATAAGATATGTTTCGTGCTTTTGCCTCTTTACTCCATCGATTTAGAATGTAGGTAGATGGAATTCTTCTAACATTCTTCTTGTCCAACACTTTCAATGCATGACGACATAAAATCCCAGCAAAAGAAAACTTCATGCAACCACAATGTATTGTCTCGTTTGCAGCATCATAATTAACCAAATGCTCTCGTGCTACACCACGATAAGATACATTGTATTCATACACCATCTCAGACTTACTAACCTTTTTGGCAACATAATCACCGATAACTATGTATTGCTTTTGGAACAAGCTAAAAACTTCTGGTGTATACACTTCCTCTGCATGTTGCAACATCTCTACAGTAGCACATAATACCGGCGAAGTATGCATCATATTGAAGTCAGCAACTAATTCTTTATATCGTCGATCCTCCAACACTCTCTCATAGTGTTCAAAGAAGCACAACAAGTTATAACTATGCTTCAAGTATTTTTTCAAAATATTGTTCATACTTTCACTACGCTGTGTGCTAACCATATCTGCTGTAAACGTATGACGGCCATATACCATTGCCCATTTTTCTCTCAGCTCAAATAAATTCTTCAACCATTTATCCTCCGTCAATTTATGCTTCTCGAGCATATTACTCCATGCCAATAACCATTCTTCTTCTTCCTCATGGTCATATACACACTTACTAAAGTCCATGACAAATTGTTCTGCTCCATGAAATACATGACTCAACTTCTTTGCAGCATTTTGGTAAATATGCCAAACACATAATCTATGCTTTGTATCAGGAAATACGTTCACTATTGCATTCGCCATTGCTGCACATTGGTCTGTAAGAATTGTTTTTGGTTGTTTACCAGACATTGCTCCAAGAAAAGTCTCGAAAAGCCACTTATATGACTCAGTGGTTTCATCATATAAGAGAGCAGCACCAAACACAACAGTTTGCTTATGATGATTGACCCCAACAAATGGAGCAAATGGTCTATCATAGTCATTGGTCTTATAAGTTGTGTCAAAGCAAACGACATCTCCAAAAAGATTGTAATCACTTATAGACCGATCATCTGCCGAGAAGATATTAGTGATCATATCATCCTCATCAAGTTGCATTGAATAGAAAAAAGATGCATTACCCTCTTTTTTTTTCTGAAAGTATTCCAAAACAGCTCCAGCATCTCATTTTTCCATTTTTGCCATTCGCTTTCGGTATATGTAATTTTGATAATCTTTCTTCAAAAAACCCAGATTTACTCGCCCTCCTACTTCTCTACTCATCATTTCAACGGTTGCTTTTGCTGAAATCCCTGACATCTCGGCATCATCTGCATGTTGTTTTTGAGAGATAGATAATACCCGATTTCCCTTCAACAAATGTTTCATAGGTGTCCTCACTAAATCATGGTTATGGTTCGGCTCGAAAGACACAACCTTATATTTTCCGGTCTTCTGAAGATAGCAAGTCATATGAGCATTACAACCACACCGTGTGATTGGTTGTGAATAAGATTTTATGATCTTAGGTTCTTTCATGTACCCCTGTTTTGAGCAAACATAAAGAAGCCTTACTACCTTCCCTTTTTTTTTCATCCTCCGTTGTTTCCTTACATTGAAACCATGATTGCCTCCATACTTTTTATAAGTTGTATGTGCAATCTCATCAGAACTGAACTCCATACCAACATATATTTCATCTTTCTTCTCATTATCATTATTTGCTTCTAAAGTAGCAGCCTCTTCAGTTTGAACGTCATCCTCGTTGTTGGCTATTTCATCTTCTTCTTCAAATTCATTAACCGAAGCTTCGTCTTCACTTATTGAGTCGTCTTCTTCCTCGACTAAAAAGTCATCACTTATATGACTACTCTCCATTGCAATCTGCATTAACCATTTAATATTATTATACACATATATATACTTTTTAATTGATATTTGTGTTTTACCTTGCGTCTAAAGGTCGCTAATTCAGAGACTTCAACCAAATCCAGAGACTTCAATGTGTATCAACAAGTCCAATAATAGGGAAATCGATGGTCTGGAAAATATAATCCATAAAAGAATTTAACACAAAAACTCACACATGTACCAATTATAGCTAGTTGTCTCTATTTGTTCACCACTAAAAAATATTTTTTTACTAGTATTAAGAGAATCTGAAACTTTACCTGACGAATTGATGTTTTAAAAACAATATATTTTCCTTCCTCTAAGAGTTTAGATCGATATTGGCTCCATCTTCTTATGCATCATCTTCTACAAATTTAATAATAAATAATAGGTTCTGATATAAGAGGTTGTCGATCTTTTTAATGGTGTGTTTGGTTTGAAAAAAATAAAAGAAAGAGATAACTTCAAACCCTAATCTAATCTCTTTATAAAATATTTTATTAAAAGAAAAAGAAGAGAAGACGACGTTCAACGACGTTAACTACGTGTAAGGTTTTGTTTCCATATTTTGTTTTTTCTGAATTAAATTTTAGTTAACTATTTTTGTTTAAATACAATCTTATATGGCATAATCTTATTGGCTAATAAAAAAAGAGGTGAACAAAGGGGTTCACCCCTAGGGGTGAACCCAAGATTTGTCCTTATTTATATTGGCTTGATTAACTTTAAATTATTTATTAAACAATTTGATTTGTTTTCAAAACCTAATTTACTAAGTGACGATTTGTGTTCTTCTATTTCCCTTTAATCTATGAAACCAGATTCTCCTTCTATCTTCAATCTCTGTCTTTTTTGGGGTTTTTTTCATGTATGAATCATTTCCAAGCTCTCTCACTTGTTACTTAGTTAGAAATCTGAAAGATTAAGTTTCAAAGAATTATGTTGTTTTGTTATGCGAAAAAAAAATATGGGGCAACAATTTTTGGTTTGCTTTAGGCATCAAATAACTTTGGGCCGGCACTGCACATAAGTTCTTGATTACCAACAACAATCTAAATTTTGGTTCGGTATTATTTAAATCGCGCTAGAAGAAAATAAACAAAGATCTTACATACTTCAAAAGAAAACATTCCTGATTAAAAACGTCTTAGCTTCGATGGTTATCTATACAAAATTTATTGTAAGAAATTAGGAATATTTAATTGGAGCTAAGAGCAGCAAATCCACCACCTCTCATCATTTGCTTGAACTCCTTAAAATTAACCATACCATCTCCATCAACATCAACCTTACTTATCATCTTCTTGCAATCTTCAAGTGTTCTTCCTTGCTTCAACCCCATTGACGCAAGCACCGACCTCAGCTCTTCATCTGTAATGAAACCATCACCATTCTGATCAAATACTCTAAAGGCTTCTCTCATGTCCTCTTCTTCCTCTTTCTCTTCCACCATTTCTTGATACAATGATCCAAACTCATCGATATCCATGACCCCGTCTCCATTCACATCCATCTTTTCTATCATCTCATTGATTTCATTTTCAGGGACCATGATTCCCACGCTTCTAAAGAAGTCTTTCAGCTCGTTTTTCGCAATCTTCCCGTCTCCATTCTTATCGAACATTTGGAACACTCTACTCAATTCTCCACGATCCATTCTTTATTGAAATCTTGATGATCTTTATGCCAAAAACTAATGGAGAAGAGAATCAAGATCAACACATAGATTCTAAAAGGAAGCCTAAGCAAGTGAAATTTTGTAACAGAAAACGTTTATGCAAAAAGGACGTCGTGAGAAGACAGAAAATTTTACAAAAAGAAAAGACAATGAGAGAGAGCTTAACGGATTCTGTTGATAGATTCAACACTTTTGGATCTTTCATTTTTTCAGGCTAAAAATAGTTATACATGCCTTGAAATAGACTATATGAATCATCTAATTCTGACACAATTAAGGAGAGCCCCTCTAGTTTAACGATAATTACTCGCCGAGCAATGGAGACACGAAATAGTAGCATGTTGAGGTACATGGAGTATTCATTTGCGGGTTATATACAAAAGAATTGAACTATCAATTTTTTTTTGCAATCAACCTTTCACGTAAAATTGTAAAAAGGAGACGTCATAATAATCTAGCTTTCCTTAAACCATTCATAAACCTTGAGTAGTTTTAAGTACCGAAGTAGTCATTTGATAGGTTCGATATCATATAACTCTTCACAATAGATAAGCGAACCAAGCCTTGTTCTAGTTATTGAATGCATGATGCTTCTTACAACACCTTGAGTAAAGGACACTCAATGCATCTATTCTTGTTATTTGTTAATTCTTGTTCTTTTGCAACCTTGAGCTTAAAATGTACAAACACTTAGAATGAGTCTAGAATCAAGGACAAAGATATCCATAAGACGTACTTCTCAAAATTTCTGGCGCATTAAACACCATTTTTGTTGCTCATTAACCTTGGTAAACAATGCATGCACCCAAAATGTGGAGTTGATATTTCAGCTTGATCGAAATGCCGTAGAGGCATGCAATATATATCTGGAGATTATCGGCTCGAGCTGGCTTTCTTTTAGATAACATGAGAGGCAAGATATAGGTATTAGTTATATTTTTTTGGATATTTCCAGTGAATAATTATTTGTCTATCTTGTTACTGAATCAGTAATTTCCAAAAAAATGGTCTTCATAATTACTAATGTATTGCTCAACTTCATTTTCTATCCCGTTTAGTAATTGTTATGTCTTCATGTTCATGAGTGTTTTGCGGTTGAATTTTCTTCAAGCGTGGGTCTCCACTTATGAACTTTTGCTCACATCTCAAGGTCACAGGGGTTTGAGTTTGACTTTTCTTCAAGCATAGTCTCTAATCCTGATTTGTTTCTTATATCTTCATCGTTACTAGTCTTTATTTACATCCACATTTGCTTGTTGCATAGTAATTATCTTTGAGTTAATATCAAATTCATGTTCCTGTTCAAAAGTTGGCCAATTGTATTTTAGCAAACACAAGTTTATCTTCATTACTAGTCTCCCCCATAAATAATTTAGTTGGTTAGTGATAGAGTTTAGCTATCCTCAACGAGCACAAACCCAGAGAATCAATATAAACAATCCAACCCCAGAAAATCAATAGGAAACTTCAATCGATTGATAACTAGCGTTTACAAATCGATAAACAAAGAAAGGATAACGAACGTTTGGTAACAACAAGTTACCAAACGAATCAACAGGTCGATCTCATGACGATCGCCTCCATAAGCACGCAGGCTCAACAAAACATTCAACATAAAACGCATAGAAGAGAAAGGAGAAGCAACAACTCCTTTTTATAGACTTCTCCTGAACATCAAACCCTCTGTTTTGACCCAAGGCTCTGCTTCCACACTTGTTGACTTCTCCAGCTCAGCAATGACCTTTTTCTTCTTCTCAAATAGCTCTGACGAACCTTATCAATACATCCCCCTAAAAGACAAGCTTGTCCTCAAGCTTGAAGTCTGGATAGTGCTTCGAGAATCTCTATTGGCAATATGACTGAGTCTTCTACGTCAGTAAGAAAAAGCAGAACAACTTGATGCTGCTTCCATATGACAGCTTCAATAGATAGTCTTAGTTTATATTTAAACCACCATGTCTTGTCACATTTCCTCTTCCATGAGTATTCAAACCCTCTGCAACCCAACAATAAAAGCACCCAAATAATATCCAACCATCTCACCAACGGTCTACATATTGTCGCTGCTAGCATATGAGTGTTGATTTTGTATTTGAACCACCAATTCTTGCCCAGCTTTCTCTGCCTTTTAAATGGACCAGAATCTCTTTCTATGCTATGTTCTAGCACCCTTTGAACCATGTAATCACACACACACAACTTGTAACAATCCTCCATGGGTATCCGGAATCTATCTCCACCTCTCCAAGTTAGTGTGAACTCAACATCCTTGGTGTAACCAACTTCACGCTCCTGAATTTCCAGTCCCGGTCTTGTCCAAAGACACACTAGTAAACTGTGGTGAATCATCAATATCTCATTCCCCAGACATGTGTCACCCTCATTACTTCCCCTGTTGAGGACAAGCTTGTCCTCAAGCTTGGATACTTGTATCCACAACAATAGGTGCTGCTTCTTGTTTGGCCCATCTATATATTTGTGCTGGGATGGAACTTGTATCTGATTTTCTAGAATGTAAATCAATAAACCGGCATTTGCTGGCAGCCCTAAATGATCCCATACTTGGACATTCTGTCTTGTATACAGCCTAATAACAACCTCATTGCCAATTCCCAACCTGTGATGAAGAACTGAGGCAACCTCCCACCAGAGCACCATGATCTTGAATTTAATTCCCCATGATTTGGACAATTTCCGTGTCTTGAATAGTTGTCGTAGCCCGTGTCCTTGCTGGAGCTTTATATTCCACAAAGGATATACAGAGAAGTAGGCCCTGACATACCTTGATGGTACTATAATCGAAGCCACTCTTTTTTCATTTACAACTTGAAACCATAGCAATCCCACCGGAAACGCCGTTGCTGCACCCTTGTATCTAAATGCAGACCTTGAGGTTGAATGTAGTATCTTAGATCTCCATTTATGCTTCATGTGAAACTTGACATCACCAAGTGTAAACTGTTGCAGGTCTTGGTGATGTCTCATCATTCTCACGGACTGAAACATGGTCCTTTTTACACTTGTGTTAGCATGAAAACTGACACAAGAGCTAATGTAGTGTTTGTTCAGCCTACTAAGTTCAAATGGAATAATAGAATCTGGTGCACTCCCCTTAGATATCCCATTAGTATTCTTATCCAATCCATTCAGCGCCATAAATTGGATAGGTGACCTGGTAGGTAGCAAACCAACATGAGAGGCATGTATGCTGGACTTCCTTGGAAAAGTAGGAACCTGCAACTTCCTTGGAAAGTCTTGGACAAACTGAAACCTCTCCTCAGCATCTTGATGCTCAACGGCAGGCTTGTAAACAACATCCAATGCATATGAAGGATTTGGCCTGAGGTGAAAAACTGCTTGTAGTCGTTTAGATTTCCACTTGTGCCCCATGGGGGACTTCAAATCATCAAGAATAAGCTGTCCATATTCCCTAAGATCATGTCTCCACCGCAAGTTACGCAGCAACCTTGACATATGTGTATTTCTCATCCTTCTCCAATATCTGAAGGTCGCTCGTCCTCATGCCACTTAAATCCATCTTTAACTCTAGAACAAGAATTGACGCCCTTGTATTTCTCTCGGACAAAGAGTTGATGTTTGAATTTGAATTTCCACGACTTAAGATACAAACTCAGTTTCCTTCTTTGCTTAAATCTGTGTCGGCTAAGAGACAATTCATCAAACACTTGGTGTGCGATATTCTTGTTCATGACACATTCAAAACCAGATTGTAAATGTACCCGATTGTTCCTCACAACTTCAAACGGCCATGCTGCAGAAACATCTACTGACTTACTGCAAAATCTAAGGTTAGGTTCCAAAGAAGAGACTAGTACCTGATTCTGCACAAGAGCAACATCAGTCACTTTCGTCTCCACTGATTCTGTTACGCAACTTGATTTTGCCTCTTGAAGATTTCGAGATTTTCTCTGTTCCTTCCATGGACGAACGCTTTGAAGATTCTCTATGATTTTCTGCAAATTTTGGTTACTCGCCATGCTCACTTTGATCCTCTCCGGATCGTCACTGCGTCCAAACCTCAACAACAGATTCCGCTTCAATTCGTCCCAGCTTTCAAGAGGAATTATCGATTGTCTCCAATGGACAAACGATTCAGCTTTGCCTTTAATAAAACGTTGTGCAAAAGCCAATTTCTGGAGATCTGAGAAATTATCCAGCAGAAACTTCATCTCCATACACAAAATCCATTGCCGTAGATCGTTATCCCCTGTGAAAATCGTAACCTCAACAAAACCCATGGTTGCGTTTGATCCGAACCAGTATCACCGCACCATTGATAGAGTTTAGCTATCCTCAACGAGCACAAACCCAGAGAATCAATATAAACAATCCAACCCCAGAAAATCAATAGGAAACTTCAATCGATTGATAACTAGCGTTTACAAATCGATAAACAAAGAAAGGATAACGAACGTTTGGTAACAACAAGTTACCAAACGAATCAACAGGTCGATCTCATGACGATCGCCTCCATAAGCACGCAGGCTCAACAAAACATTCAACATAAAACGCATAGAAGAGAAAGGAGAAGCAACAACTCCTTTTTATAGACTTCTCCTGAACATCAAACCCTCTGTTTTGACCCAAGGCTCTGCTTCCACACTTGTTGACTTCTCCAGCTCAGCAATGACCTTTTTCTTCTTCTCAAATAGCTCTGACGAACCTTATCAGTTAGGTACAAAATTTCCATTTTTAGAGATTGTAACATCCATCGTAGTATATACGTGTCCGATTTGATCTCATAACGCTTATAACTCTTAACCAAGAAAGAGACATCGAACTACACATAGTTCCAAACTAGTTTTATGATGCTTATAATATGTAAAATGACACAAACACAACACATCTACAAATTCTTGATGGGAGCATTATAATAGAGTACAAAGAGAAATGTAAACAAAGATGATGAAATAGAGATTAGAATTTTTATATCCGAGATGACATTCTAAGGCTGAGTTCTCGTATCCGTCCAACAGTAAGAAGATCTTTAAACACCGAGCATAAGCGAAAGCGTTGTCTGACGAGTTTTTTGTGTGGCAACATTCATATAAACAAAATTTCTTAGATCGGATCAGATCAGTCATAATAATTCCGGTTCAAATCGATTTCGTTCAGGTTGGATTAATGTATGTTTGGGGTTTATTTTTTGTCGAGCCTCAATGCCTCATTGACCATTAGTTCTACAAACCCTTGGAAGTGATGGCGACAACATATTTTAACGGACTAAAACACATCTCATGTTTTGGTTCTGATACCATATTAAAATTGTATTGAATTTTCACTCATAGTTCCATAACATATACAATGCGAAATATTTAATTGGTTCTGATAACATATACACAAACTTACAAAAACTAATTTAATGCTACTTACATATTTTCAACGGCTAGCTGATTTCTCCAACGGTATGCTTTTAATTTATTTTTAAATAAACAAGTCAATATGTTTTCTTAGTTCGTTGGCTAAATCCAAACGTTGGAATATGCTCGTGACAACTAATCATTCGGCATTTGTTGATCTCATTTTTTAAGAATTAGTTTGCTACCTAAATTAAGTACAGATGCACTAAAATTAGTAAAGCAAACTCATAATTGTATAGACATTTCACATAAAGTAAATCACTTAAAAAGGCGTATAACCTTATAAAATTTTAAAGAGATGACTCAAAATAAATAGTTTCATGCAGAAATATATTTAAAAATGAAACTAATCGATGATTTGCTATCTTGCAGTCTTAGGTTTAAAATCTTGTAACAGGGTTTCAAATCTTATTATAAATCAAACTGTGTACTTAAGTAAAAATCAATTATTAATTTTGTTTAGGGAAAATTCTTGATGAAATGGAAAGTTGAGTTTATTCAATCTTAGTTTGATGACATTAGATAAAAGGGAAAAACTAGACTCTATTAGGTTCAAGCTAGACACCCACTTGCGCATATTGTCATTAATTGTTTTCCAAAACTAATAAAGTGGTTACTAAATATTGCAATTTGAAAGATGCATTAAGACCTACTTAGCTAGTTAGGTAGAAGCTGGAGTAACTTAACTTCTAATCACTTTATTTTATATTTTATTTGTTACATGCTAGCTATACCATTATTTAAAATAGAATTATGATTCACTGTCAGATTTTTTATAAAGTAGGCGTAGAATCTTATCTTCACTAATTAGACATAAAGAACATCTGATAAACACAATGTGACCAGAGACCAAATAGCTTATGTCAGTCAGTGTGTGTTAGATAAAACGGTAAAAATGTTCATTATGACTCCACTAAACAATGGAGTCGACTAATAGAAAATATACCCACTTTTATTTGTTATCATATTTTTTTCTTAATTCTATTTTTTTGTTGTATGTATAGTTCTTTTTTTGTTGGGAGTCTCATTATAAAATGACCAATTTCACTAGATGATAAAATAATTTACTCGAATTGCCAAATATGATGATTATAGAAAAATCTTTATTCATAACATACCTTCAACAAGTACTGTATGAAAATGTGTGTGAGATTTTTACTTCGTAATTTCATGTTTTTTCTTTGATAAAGTTTTTTTGTCATTCTAATTCATGTTTTTTTTTCAATGACACTATTTTCTTTTTGTTAATCTGATATTTCTTCAATATGACAAAAAATTTATATACTACTGTATCTATGCTATTTTGTAAAAAAAATCAACAGAACATTCTCTCTTAATTATAATTCTACCAATATTTTCTTTACCGTTTTTGAACAAAAGTTTGGCTTTCTACGTAATAAAACCTTTATAAAATTTTATCAACTTTGATTTAAATGATGAATAAATTATGACCCTTAAATTCTTTCCACATATTATGAGAGAGTGGGACAGAAATGTCAAAAAGGACCCAAAGTAAAAAAAAAACACTTAACGGTAAAAAATAAATATCTTGTCTATAAATAAACAGCAAGGCCGTAGTCATGAATGAGCACTCAATTCACTAACTCACTCTTAAGTACAAATATTTTCAACAATGGTTACTTCTTCTTCAACAAAGCTTGTCTTCTTTGCTTGCTTTGTTCTCTTCACATTCTCAGACACACTCGTGGCTGGAGAATCCGACAAAGTTCAGCTCAATCTTTACTACGAATCACTTTGTCCCGGTTGTCAGAGATTCATCGTTGATGAACTAGTCAAAATCTTTGACTCCGATCTCGATACAATCACCGATGTCAAGCTCGTTCCATTCGGTAACGCCAAAGTCTCCGATAATCTAACCGTTATTTGCCAGGTTCTTACCAATTTCTCACCCTTCTTGTTCTTGTCTATATGATAAAAGATCACTTGTATATGTTTATTTTAAACTCTATTTCTAAGTAACTTATTGTTTGGGAAATTTGTGAAGCATGGTGAAGAGGAATGCAAACTAAACGCTCTTGAAGCTTGCGTCATTAATACTTTGCCTAACCCGGTAATGCATTTATCTCTAATATATTTTGTGAATTCAGGGAAAATAATTGTTACAATTTTAATATGAAATATGTGATTTCTTTTTGGACCGCAGAAATTGCAGTACAATTTCATACGGTGCGTTGAAAACTATACCAAAAACTGGGAATCATCATGTTTAAATGGCTATGGAGATGAGAAAGCCATCAATGCTTGTTACAACAGTGATCTCTCTAAAAAGGTTGCATAATTATTAAAACATCAAAAGAACATACATATATATTGCATAAATTATATAACCATTATTTTTGTTGTAATTTACCAGCTCATACTTGGGTATGCAAAACAAACCTCGAGTCTTAAGCCGGAACATGAATTCGTCCCATGGGTCACACTCAACAGCAAACCACTCTATACTGTATATATAAATCCTTTATTAACACTTAATTTCATTATTTACATTTTCCAACCAAGTTTAAATGTCATCTAATTTTGTTTTTTGTGTGTGTTATTGGTTGGGGATGCAGAATCTAGACGATCTGGTGGGCCAAGTCTGCAAAGCTTACAAAGGAAAGACTCCACTCCCAAAAATCTGTAGTTCCTCTGCCTTGTCGGAGTGGAAAATGTCGAAGCTTGAATTCTCCTATGTCGATGAAACTATCAATCACTAAGTTAATTATCAAACCACTAAGATGGATTTAAGCTTATGTCAGTGTGAAATAATTAAATAAAGACCTTATTTCTAAATTTTATGTTTATTCGTTAATTAAAACCGCCAGAGTTGAACTATATTAGCACCATTTGGACAAGTAACTAATGTGATAAACACTCTACACTACTACATTATCATCATCAAGTCATCAAACCATAATCAATACTTATTTAAAGAAGATCTGATTATAAAAGTATATATACATAAAAACATCTTATGAAATTTAACGACATAATCAGTTCTCTTTAGTACAAAACAACATTTAATTTGCCTTATCAAGTGGGTGAACTTGCCGGAAAAATCCAAAACAACTTATAGAGATAACATAAAATTGATTTCTTATTGTGGTGGAGGAGAAGTAAAAGGAGGAGGAGGAGGAGGAGTCTCAACTAAAACATCTAGCTTCATGCCGTGAAAGCAACCACCTCTTCCATCAAGTAGATAGTAACGTCTAGTCTCATAGAGTGGAACAATGTCTCTCCCAGCTCCACGTGTATAATTGCGTATTGGGTGGGTGGAGATACATCTTTCATAGTCAGCCTTGTTTACCTCAAGAATGTTGTATTGGTCTCTATAAAACACAAAATCTGACAAGAAAGAAACCATAAAAAACATAAGTCCAAAGACAGAACCAAGATCTTTCTTTAGGACAACTTAAAGAGTTGTGTTTTAACTAGATCTGGACTTAAAGTTCAACTTTGAAACTATTACAAGATTTGAAGCTAAACTCGTCAGATCTAAATATAACAGATCTGAGAGTGGGAGAGATAGAGAGAACGTACAGAGCCAGTCTCCGACGTAGAAATGTTTGCCTTGAGCCCATAAGGTATAGTTAATGTTTGGGTTCCAGAACTTTTTGTCGCCGACTGTATATTTCTTCGCTGTTACTTCTGGTATCGACGCCGCGACCAGAAAAGCTAGTACAACCGCCGCGATTAGCACCGTAGATCTCGCCATTTCTCTCTAGCAAAACTCTCTCTCTTTCTCGCTTTAAATGTGATTGTAGAATTAATTTGCTAGCATAAAAATAGTAGTTCAGTCACTACAACGAAATTATTATTTTTTGCAAAACAGTAACTTAAGTAAAAAAAAGAACAATCATTAGTCAATCACAGTCCTTTATGATGAAACGAATTCATAACTATTCCACCGACATGCATATTAAATTAAATTATATGATATTGATATCAATCCAAAAAAAAATATGGGTACACCGAATAGAGATCTGAGTTGGAAAGAAATTAATTATCTACGAGTGACTCTGACTCCACCATTTAACTTCGGCGGTTAAAAGTGGGTTGGCTGATTTTATAGCCATAAAATTTTATAAAATCAGCCAACCCAACCGTCAAGCGCGTGACCACCAATCGCCGCCGAAGAAGAATAAGATTCGGTTGGGTTGGCTGATTTTATAAAATTTTGGTCAAAATCGGGTTTAAATTTGGTTAAATTTGAATTAAATCAAACCGGGTTATGTGGTACCGGTTTAATGACCGGTTCAATTGGAGGCGTAGTTTTAAGGATGAATCCGAAAGTACATGTTGAAATTGCGAGAATTATCTAAGTTAATGGTGGAATTAGCTGGAGCGAAAAGGTTGGGGGGAAAAGCTGAGAATGCAACTAGTTTATGGCTATAAAATCAGCCAACCCGTTAAAAGTTGAACCATACTTCCTTGCTGCTGTTTATGCAACAGAAGATCCGATTTATCCGTAGAGCCGGATTTGAATCCATAGACATGAAACATTACAAATTTACAATGGGGCTCCCATTTTAAGAAAAGAAAAATTTATTACAAAGAAAAAAAACGAATAATGTTATTTGGAAATTACATTAGGGGCTCGGAATTCGTTAGTTCGACTCTATGTCCCGGTCTATGATTCAATTTTTAGCGCTAGTCGGACCCGCTCAAATCTCCCGGGTGATACGCGATGTCACGCTCAATAGAACCCTACATCGAAACCGTCAATTACTTCTTTAGCCAAGCAATCGACACCCATATCTACCATTACCGAAAACGCCTCACCTTTGTTAATTACTTGCTTATAAAATTTTTAAGTTCTAAAGACATAACTAACACAAGATTAATACATAAAAAACAAAAATTAAACTAATGATTAGCTCTCCCAATTCTTTAATCTCGTATCAAGTTTTCCATGTACTACTGTTTCTATTTTGTTTAGCTATTATTCTTGATGAAACGATAAGTTGTGTTTATTTAGTTAAATGTCGTTAATTATCTTGGATAACTATACCTCTAATTGGTTTAAACTAGACATCCTCTTTAGCTTATTGACGTTAAAATGATTCCAAAAAACTATTAAAGTTTAGTAATTTGAAAGATGCATCAACACCTACTCAGACAGGTAAAACTAAAAGTAGAAACTACAGCTGGTGTGATTCTATTTTTAAACATAAAAACAAAACAATCTTATAACCTAAATAATCAAGATATATAATACTATATGTCTTAATATATACTCAAATGGAAGATAAAAACAATTAGTCTGTTACACTACCAGCCTAGCTAGTTGATCACTCTGGAAATGAGTAGATTATTTGCATCTTGAGTTACCATGGACCCAAAAGTCAAAAAGAGACCCAAGTGAAAAATACTACCAACTAGTAAAAAAAGCATTTACAGTACGGTAAAAGTATCTATTAAATGTTTACACAAGGCAGTAGTAGTCATAAGCACTCAACACAAACTCTTTACTAATGCTCTTAAAAATGGCTTCTTCTTCTTCAACCAAGTTTGTTCTGTTCCCATGTCTTTTCTTAGCTTGCCTCTTTCTGGTCACATTCTCAAACAACCTCGTCGTGGCTGAAAAATCCGACAAAGTGAAGCTCAATCTTTACTATGAATCACTTTGTCCCTATTGTCAGAATTTCATCGTCGATGATCTTGGTAAAATCTTTGAGTCTGATCTCCTCAAAATCACTGACCTCAAGCTCGTTCCATTCGGTAACGCTCATGTCTCCAATAATCTGACTATTACTTGCCAGGTTAGTTTCAATTTTCTCACTTTTTGTTGATAAATTACTTTGACTCCGCTCTAGACTCTAGTTAACTAAATTTGGGAATTTTGTGAAGCATGGAGAAGAGGAATGCAAACTAAACTCCCTCGAAGCTTGCGGTATAAGAACTTTGCCCAATCCGGTATAGGACGAATACATTTATTTACTATGTTTATACTATTTTGTATGTGTGGATGTGTTAGAAGCTTAATACAAAAATTGTGATGGTTTTGGAACGCAGAAATTGCAATACAAGTTCATACGCTGCGTTGAAAAGGATACGAATGATTGGGAATCATGTGTTAAAAAATCTGGACGTGAGAAATCTATCAATGATTGTTACAATGGTGATCTCTCTAAAAAGGTAGGTCTATATACAAAAATCATAAAAAAAATATACACATATATAATTATAACCATTTTTTTATGTAATTGCAGCTGATACTTGGGTATGCAAAACAGACCTCGAGTTTGAAGCCGAAACATGAATACGTTCCATGGGTCACACTCAACGGCAAACCACTCTATGATGTATATTTTAATCCTTTAAAAACAGTACTTCCTTTGGTTTATTTACATTTTTAACTAATTTCAAATGTCTTGTGTTATTGGGGATGCAGAATTACCATAATTTGGTTGCACAAATCTGCAAAGCGTACAAAGGAAAGGCTCTACCAAAATTATGCAGTTCGTCTGCCTTGTTTGAAAGGAAAGTGTTGAAGCTTCAAGTTTCCTATGTCGATGAAGCTATCAATCACTAGGTTAATTATAAGATGGATTTAAGCTTTATGCTATAAGTGGAATGATAAATAAAGACGTTTCTTCTAAACTTTTATGTTTACGCGTTTATGAACCTTCTGCTTTATCTATTTTTTCTTTATAATGAAAAAGCCTAAACTGAACTATATTAAGACCATATCTACAACTACAAGTAATTAGTTGAAGGACAGCCTCATCAAAAATTTAGGCAATATCACGGGTGGCAAATTTAGAATAATGAAAAGAATTAAATTTGTTAATTACCCTTAGCTAGAAAGTAAAGTTAATAGCATTTGTCTCCAATATTTGTTGAAATGTTTATTAAACCAAAGTCTACCAAATTACTTAAAAAATATAAAGCAAGAAATGAGAAAATTGATGATGCAACAACAATTTTAGCTTCATAGATGCAGGTAGTGACATCCTAATTAAGCTTGCGGGTAAATGTTTTTTTTTTGTTTGCTAAAAAGTTAATATCATATAATGAAAGTTTCCGTGTTACAAAAGATTGGAAGACCTAATATGTGTTCTTTGCCAAAAAAAACAAAAAGATTAAAATTTTTAGCCAAAAGATTGGCTACACGTATGTAGTCCAAATAATCAAAGCAAGTGCCAAAATATATTCATTAGAAGAGGACTATATGATCATATATTAATGATGAAGAATGAAGATTCCCTCTTTCTGATTTCTAGTTTTTGTTCTGTTTTATTTCTCTGTTCATGTTGATAAAACTTTTTTTGTAAAGGTTTCAATTTGATTAATCAATTTTACATTTCATCAAAAAAGAAAAAGAAAAATGAAGAATACTTGTAGTGATTAGTAGGTGATAAAAATAAATATAATTGTTTCACGTAACCAAAGAGCTTATTGTGAGTCAGTGAGTGTAAAATGTTCATTATGACTCCACTAAGCATGTACTAGAGGAAAGTGTCGAAGCTTCAAGTCTCCTATGCGATGAAGCTAATAATCACTAAGTTAGGGCATGTTCGTTTGTTAATGACTGCAACAGCAATAGCGACTTCGACGACGGCAAAAAATATAATAACGAATTTAGAATTACTCATTGTATATAAATTTGAAATCAATCCAAAGTTGTAAATACACACACAGAGACACACGAAAATTTTAAAAGTAACTGATAGACAGTGGAGATTTTACTTACGAAGAGTTGTCAATTTGTGATCACCGCGAAGTTCCTTTAGTGAATAGCTACTTTCCACTCCAAGTTTGAAATAAACGTTTTGGATCACCAACGGTGGTAATACAACACAATAATAATGAATGACAACAAAACAAACGTCCCCAGAAGTGTCGTCTTTTGTTTCCTAGAATTCACACGACAAGAGAAGATAAGACCGGGGTTAAAAAAAAACAAACATCATGAATAGCAAAAGTTACTGATGGTTCTATTTTGTATATCTTACTTGCGAGGTCTTCTTTGGCTTTCTGTCAGAACGAGTTCATCATCAATGATTTCATCGTCTATGATTTCATGAAGCCTACTATCTGAAACGTCTTCGTCTGATGAATTACTGTCTTTTTCTATGTAAGAAAGAGTTAGTCCTATCTCAAGAATGGTGAATTGATCTCCAAAATCAACAGAAACTTCCACTTGATCCCCTGTGTCCAAACAAAAATCTTCATTTGAAAAGTGTCCTTGCCAGATGTGTTTTTCATGGTACATACGAATGTGATCTGTTGCTGGACTGCGAATCCATACATCTTCTTTGGTGTGATTGTTCACTATGATCTTTGGAGGGTATCCAGACATGACATCATTTTGCTGACTCACGTATGGTACCCACAAGGTAAACCCGACGAGATCAGCATTCAAACTTTCAGGCACAATAAAAGAGATCGAATGCCTCTCATTCTTGAAGCTAACCCAGTTTGGAACGCTTGATCCCGGGATAAAAATTCCACCATTGGCACCCACTGCCCAACCCTGTAACACAAAACAACATCATATAAATCATAACCAATGACACTTTCCTAGTGATAGAAACTAAGAGTAAAAAGTGTTGAAGGTTGCTCAATAATCAGGAATCAGTTCAATAGTTTAGGAAATAAAAAGAGAGATATATAAAAAAACCTGCATGATGCTTTCTCTGTCATCAGTTGATATGCGGTTGCACATTTCCATGTGGATGACTCCAACTGTTTTCAGTTTATCCAGGCCCGGCGTTTCAACAAGGTTGAAACAATTTGTGA